TACACCTTATACCAAACAAATGGTTTTTGAACTATAGTTAGGAAGTTATTGAATATGTAATTTTGTTTTTCATTTTACCGAAAATGGTTCTGGATAGATATTCATCGTTCTTCCCCCTGGCCCTTTAAATATTATCGATATTAAAAAAACATTTTCTGAATTTTATTGTAACAAATGTCGTCAGTAGCCAATAGAAGAACGCTCAGAAGAGAACAAAACTACAACAAAAGATGAATATTGGAGATTATTCAAATAAAAAAGATCACCATCGTGACAATAATAAGACCGATATAAAAGATCTCTCCGTACTAGTCGTACATGCACAATTGACAAATATATCAAATACAACTCTGAACAAGTCGTACTTCAAGTGCCATATGTGTTTTTAGAGTAATATATCCCTTTTGCAGTCCAACCAAATCTAGCAAAGAGTGCAAACATAAATATACATTTTATTAAGAATGTTTATAAGTGCTTATTGAAAATGGCAAAGATAGCCGAAACTTTTAAGCCATCATTAAGTTTTTTATTTATAACAGACCGACACACCCAGGAATTAAAAAAGTTTCTTTTTAAAAATTCACGGTTAGGAAATAACAATATATGTAGAAGAAGAATGGGGTAAATTATTTTCAGTGCAAAAATTAATATTCAATTTTGTATAAATACCTAATAAATCCATTGTTGTGTGCACCGTAAAATCGACACCACAGTGGATTATCTCAAATTAAACTTCTATCATTATTTTTATAGGAAGTGGTTAACCAAATGTGTAATGCATTAAAAATTGCATCATGTAGCAAAACAGTATTATTTTTAATATAGAAAAAAACAAATTTTTCAGTTTATATCCATTTTTTTATCTTTTCTTTCCCATTCTTCTATCTGCTTTTTTATCGTGTCTACAGCCTACCTTTGTAAGTCGTTTGTACTTAAAATATTTTAAAAACTTTTTAAAACTATAAATATTGATTATCATTATACAGGGCACCAAAAATTTTTCTTAAAAACCCTCCAGCCATCAATTTTTATTGGTTGGAGGACATATTTTGTAAATATGTCGATTCTCATATTTTATTTAATCCTTATTATTAAATTTTATCCTTTAAATCCAGAGAGGCCCTTATCCCCTAAAATCTTAAATGAAAAGGAGTACCGTATGACACATGAAGGTTCTTTATCATTTAGGTATTTATCTTTTCAAGGGCACCTGGGCAGCCCCAATTTTTAGTTTAATGGCCAAATTATTGAAGGAAAAAACAGTACATTTCCTCAAAATTACAAGCCAATAAGCTTACTCCCAGCAATCAGCAATATTGTGGAGAGAGTCATCCTTAGCAGACTCCAAGCCGAAACAGACAGGCCATAATCAGATAGAAATAATTCCAGATGCGCAATTTGGATTTAGATCAGAGCAATTCAGAGAGCTAGAATTACTCAGATTATCAGAGTATATAGCAGCTGGAATCAACGATAGACAGTACACAGAAGTAGCCTTCCTGGACATAAGCAAAGCTTTCGACAGAATCTGGCATAAAGGGCTAATCTACAAAATGAGAGGATACAGATACAGTGGGGCGATGATGAGACTAATATCTTCGTACTTAGGCAACCAAAGCTTTAGAGTTCGTTTAGGACAAGTCCTGTCGGAGCTCCAGGGAGCAACCTCGGACGCTCGAGTGCCACAGGGAGCGGTCCTGTCACCTCTACTGTACACAATATACACTGATAACGTTTCAAGAGCACCAGGAACTCAACTAAGCCTTTATGCCGATGACACCGCGATAGCGCCAAAATATAGACATATCAGTAAACAATCTGCACACATAGTTAGATGACATCGCGGAACGGAATATAAAATGGAAAATTACCTTAAATTCCGAAAAATGCAAGTGGTACTGTTTAAAAAGAGACATCAACAGCCAGAGAAATAACTGACAGTGCAAAACAAAACCATTTGAGTGGAATAGCGAAGAAAAATATCTAGGAGTCACCATGGACAAAGTTCTTCTTCTTCTTCTGGTTCCTATCCGTTTCGGATGTTGGAAATCATATTGGCAATCATAACCTTGCTCGCTGCGGCTCGAAACAGCTCCGTTGAGGTTTTCTTAAACCATGTTCTTAAATTCCGCAGCCATGATATTCTCCTTCTACCGGGTCCTCGCTTACCTTTGACTTTACCTTGCAATATAGACTGTAGCAGGGAGTAACGGTGCTGATTTCTCATAACGTGTCCCAGATATTGCAATTTTATGCGTTTGATCGTAAACACAATCTCTGGTTCCTTCTTCATTTTTCCTAGAACTTCCTTGTTCGTGATCCTTGCTGTCCATGATATTCTCAGCATTCTTCTATAAAGCCACATCTCAAATGCTTCAAGTTTTTTAATAGTGGCGTCTGTAAGCGTCCATGCCTCCGCCCCGTACAACAACACAGAGAAAACATAGCATCTCAAATGTCTCATTTTTGTATCAAGGGATATGTTGTGACTTTTGAAGATGGCGCTCATTTTGTTAAAGACCGTTCTTGCCTTTCCTATGCGGCACTTTATTTCCTGTAAATTGCTCCACTGTTCGTTAATAATAGTTCCCAGGTAACAATACTGTTTTACTCGCTCTATCTGCGTCCCATTAATGTATAGATGAGCCCCGTTTATATTCTCCTTGCTGATAATCATTTGTTTCGTTTTGTGGGTATTAATGTTTAGTCCGTACTGTTGACTGTACTCGTTTATTCTGTCCATTAGCCTCTGAAGTCCCTCTAAACTATCTGCTATCACCATGGTGTCGTCGGCATATCTAACATTGTTTACTCTTTCACCATTTAGAAGGATGCCTTCGTCTATTCCGTAAAGAGCCTCGTTAAAAATTTTCTCTGAGTACATATTAAATATCAACGGCGATAGGATACATCCCTGTCTAACTCCACGTAGTATTTTTATGTGATCTGTTTCTTCTCCGTTAATTTTCATGTATGCGGTTTGATTCCAGTAGAGTTCTGAAATTATTCTGAGGTCTTTGTCATCCAGGTCTGCCTCTTTTAGAATGTTTATCATCTTTTGATGTTGAACTCTGTCAAATGCCTTTTCGTAGTCGATCAAGCACGCGTATACGTCGCAGTTAACGTCCCTGCATCTTTAATCAGTACCTGTACTCCAAAAAGTGCCTCTCGGGTACCCACTGCGTTAATGAAGCCGAACTGTCTGTCCGATATTTGTTCCTCGCACTTCTTATAAATTCTTCCATGGATGACTCTAAGAAACAGTTTCAACATGTGGCTCATTAGGCTGATTGTTCGATATTCTTCGCACTTTTTAGCCCCCTGTTTTTTAGGTATCGCTATGAATTCTGATTCTAGCCATTTATCAGGGATGATTCCTGTATTGTAAATTTTATTGAAGACAGCCGTGATCCAAATTATTCCTTCTTCCTCCAAGAGTTTTAAAAATTCAGCTTCGATATTATCAGGCCCTACAGCTTTCCTGCTTTTCATCCGTTTTATTGCTTCTTCTACCTCGGATTTAAGTATGTCCGGGCCCGTCATCCTCTCTGAAAATGGATGCCTATAATCCATGCCATCCATCCATCCACTTTGTCCATACCCATGATTATAGGCATGGACAAAGTACACTTTCAAAAAGCACGTACACGCCACAATTCAAAAAGTAAACATGTCAAAAGCGTCAATAAGAGGATTCGCAGATAAGTAAAGTAAACTGGGGACTAAAACAAAGATAGAACTAATAAATAGTATCATTCTACCGAAATTAACATATGCATCTCTCACATGGGGACACATCTTTAACACTACAAAGAAGAGGATACAAGCGGCACACAATAGCAGCATAAGAGAGGCAGTCAACGTATCGAACTACGTCGCGAAACGATTTTTATTCAGAGAACTGCAGCAAGTCAGGGTTACTAAGATAATGAAGGAAAAAGCCAGGATAAAATTCGCTGAACTGGAGAATCACCCAAGTTCTATAATGCGATAAATCATGAGATACGACGCTTTCCACCGATAGAAACACAAAAGACCTAAGCAACAACTAGTGGAATAAAATAAAAGTAAATCCTGGAGAGAAAGTAAATAAATTTACCAGAGAGAAATCAAAATAAATAAACAAGAAATAACTTGGATAGTTCGTAGCTCTAACAACTAGGACAACCGCAGCACTGTGTAGGCCCCAGGTATTAAGATTTTTTGTTTATTTACAAAAAACCCGCTTTAATCTAATAAGGTTATTAGCGGAATGGTAAGAATTAATTACACTTTACTTATTAAATTACAATCTTTCAGAAACAAACGATGTTTATCAATATTGTTATTTGAGTTTAAAATGCCTTTAAGATTGATGGATTCGACCGTTACTTGATGGAAATTCATTTTATGTAACAATAAAACACTGAAAAGCTTGTTTTCAAACTTCCCCTAAATTTATTTTAAACTCTTATCACTATAGCTGTCTTGGCTGATTGCCTTTCTCAAGTGAGAAAGGTTGAAGGTGACATTTCCAAAGAAATGTAATTTTGCAAATTTTTTTGTAAATAAATATATACGAAAAGTGCATAGAAATTGAGTTCAAATATAAAACTGGAAAATAGATTAATTCACCCCTTTCTCAAAAGCGCACCCCGTTAAATGGTAGCACTTGGAGGTTTTTTCATATTTGGGGGTCCATTGGCCACATGAAACAATAAAATCGCTTTCATTTTGTAGTTCCTTTTAACCTTTTTTTCTGTACATAATTAATAAATAAGCTTATTCATTTAAAATGTATTATAGATAAAGCAGTTTTTATAGATTGCTAAAAATAACCGCCAGAATCCGGAGTAATTATACCGTAATTAAATTCATTCCTAATGAAGTTCCTAAACAATCAATTTAATCTATCTCACACATACACCCTTGAGTCCAAAACCCCTCTAAACAATCACAAGACGCGGAATTCGAGTGGGGTCTCTTGTGGTACTCGTATTCTGCTGGTCCAACTGCACGACAGTCACATTCTCTCATTAATACGAAGTACTCACTTTTTCCGCGCGCGTACCTTGACATACCTGCACTAAAGTGAACAGATAGTTTGATTTTGTAATCCGATTCTTAATTGCCGTGTTCTACTACGATTTTTGAATAAAGACGTTGGTGAGATTTACAGGATTGGAGAGAGTTTTCATTCACGTTGACTTTAAGGTAGGAATTTGTTAGGAAATATTGACCGCATGCGAATACTATGTGGTCACAGTTTTTATTTTATTATGGTGTTTCTAAAAAACATATCCTTTCTTTAAAAATAATACTAAATGTATTATAAAAAATTGAAGTTTCATTCAGCATTTTGTGTATAATGTGTCGGAAAAAATAAATTTAGGCTTTATATATATATATATATATATATATATATTATATATATATATATATATATATATATATTGGGTTGGAGTATCGGGTATGGGTCTGTTATTTAAAAAAAAATCTCTTTTTTCTTTTAATACTCTATATTTTACTGATTTTTTGTCAGCTTCATCAGGAGACAACTAAAATATGAGTAAAAGTTAAATAAAAATCAGGTGAGAATAAAAAATGAATCACTTACAGATTCTTCTTCTTCTAGTAGTGCCTATCCGTTTCGGATGTTGACGACCATCATGGCAATCTGCACTTTGCAGACTGCTGCTCTAAAAAGATTTGTGGTTGTTGTGTTGAACCACGTTCGTAGATTTTTCAGCCAGGAAATCCTTCGCCTTCCTGGTCCCCGTTTTCCTTCTACTTTTCCCTGCAAGATTAGTTGCAGCAGTCCATATCTTTCGCTGTTTCTCATGATGTGACCGACGTATTCGATTTTGGCTGTTTTTATTGTGGTTAATAGCTCTTTTTTTTTCATTTTCACTTACAGATTGAGTTAAAAATATTTAAAAAAGTTGTACATAATATGTTCAAAACAGTACTGACAGTATTGGTTAAAAGCACCTAGGTCACTAGTAATTAAATATAAAAACAGAGCAAACAAAAACAACCAAGAAACAATTAAAACACAATAAAATTACACATTAAAAATATACAGGGTGATTTAAAATATAATTGTAAACAGAAAAATTATTTGAACATACTAAGAATATTACAGTAGATATTGCTCAACTGTCCCGTGTCTGCCTTGTAATTTACTGCATAGTTTTCTCTATTTATATGACACATTTCCAAAAACAATCTTTTTTTGTAATTATTTTCTTGCTGTAGAACCCTGACATTTGAATAGTCAAATTGTTGGCCAGTTTTTAAGTGATGGTCAACTGCCGCACATGTATTCTTCTGTTTTGTGCAGTCACTTTTGTGTTGTGTGACCCTTTGTTTTAGCCATTGAGAAGTTTGGCCAACATAACAGCTCTGGCAATCCAAACAAGGCAGTTTGTAGATAACATTAGTTTTATTTACAGTTGGTGTCTTGTCTTTTACTTTAGAAAACAGTTGTCGGTTTTCTAATAAATTATATTGGACAATTTTAATGTTAGTAAATTGTTTAAATAAACTAGTCACAGAAGGTGTTAACTGTTTTATTAATGGTAGTTTTTTATATTGTATTGTTTGTACTGCTCCGATATCAGTGGGACCGTCAAAAATGTCAGAGTTAAATATCAATTTTTTAAGGATATGTTTTGGGTATCCATTATTTTGAAAGATGTTTAACAGCAAATTTAAGTTTTTGTTTATGAATTTATCATCACTAATATGCCTTACCCTATTCTTCATTGCAATGACTGTATTAAACTTTTGATGAGTAGGATGATTTGAAAAAAAGTTTAAATATCTTCCAGAGTGTGTTGGCTTTTGATACCAATCTATCAATATTTTGTTTTGTTCTGTTCTTATTATTTTGGTGTCCAGAAATGATATCGAACAATCATTTTCAATCTCTAAAGTAAATTGGATATGTTTGTTAAAGTTATTGAAAATGTTTAAGGTATTTTGAATTTGTGAAGTAGGAACAGAACATATAAGATCGTCTACAAATTTTTTAATGAAGGGTAAAGGGAAAGGTAATTGTGGAATAATGACATCCAGCTAATGGTCCAAAATGATGGTTGATATTATGGGGCTGAGTGGACTACCCATAGGTGCTCCAAATATTTGTCGATAGAATTGATCATTAAAGCTAAAATAGGTGTTCTCAAAAACATAGTTCAGAAGTGTTAAAAAACTATCCTTGGAAATTGTTGTATAATTTTGGATGAGATTCCATTTTGACTGTATTATATTACTGACCAGATCTATTGGTATGTTAGTAAATAACGATATGACTTCCCCTTACTATATGTCCCAGATAAGACATTTTTCGATGTTTAACAGTCTTCAGCAGTTCTCTGTCTTTGTTGACGCTCATTAGTACTTCTTCATTAGTTTTTCTTGCTGTCCGTCTATGAACCCACATTTCCAATGCTTCAATTTTGTTCATGATCGATACTTTTAGCGTCCACACTTCTGCACTATACAAAAGTACAGACCAAACATAGCACTTAACCATTCTTTGCCTTAGTTCTAAACTGAGATGGTTATTGCAAAGAAATGACTTCATTTTCATAAAAGTAGTTTTAGTCATTGCTATTCTACGTTTTATTTCTATGTCTGGATCTAGTTGGTCCGTTATCACAGTTCCCAAATATGTCATTTTGTGAACTCTCTCAACTTGGACTCCTTTCAATTGAAGCTGTGTAACGGGATGTGAGTCACGACTAAACACCAAAAATTTGGTTTTGTTTGAGTTTATTTTAATGCCCATTTTCTCTCCTACCTCGTGAATATGATCAAGCAGAATTTGAAGACCTTCAATATTATCTGATAGAATTACTGTATCGTCTACATATCTAATCACATTAAGTATTCCCCGTTGATTTTTATTCCATATGGTTGTCTCTCAAGTGCCTTTTTAAATAACTGGTCCGAGTAAACATTTAACAATGTTGGCGACAAAATGCAACCTTGTCTGACTCCTCGTTGTATGGAGATTTCATCGGTGTAGTTATCTCCAATTTTTACGATAGCTCTTTGAATCTAGTAAAAGTTGGGTATACCTTGTTTCGTTTGAAAAACATTAAGACTGATAACAGATTCTAGAAAGGCCTCTTTTACAAGATTAATACATAAAATTGCCAGTTTGATACGGGTTCGTTTGAAAAGGGCCTTTAGCTGAATATGAAGTTATTCTAAATATATTTCGAAATTGGGTATAGTAAACAACTAGTTATTGGTATATGATATAAAACTCAATTTATTGTACATAAAAAACGAAAAACAAAATTTATCATGAGAAGTAAGAGCATGAGACTACTCAAATCGTTAATAGGCAAAGTTCTCAAAAGAAGAGTACATACATATAAGAGAAATGAAAACTGGCCATCTCAATTCGTAACGATCTTGAGCTATTCTCCTCCACGAAAAACTGTCAAGAATATTTCTTGCATCCTCATCTCCATCGTCTACCCATCGCTTTCTTGGTCTCCCAAACCAATAGATTTCTTTTTCCTGCACTCTTGCATTCAACAGTTTATTTGAAAGCCTGTTTTCTTCCATGGTCAATAAATGGTCTACCCGTTAAAGACGTTGTAAACGAACATATGAGCCAAATATGGTTCTTTATATATTTTATATATGTATCCGATTTGCCACCTGTTGTTCTCATTTATAGTTCCTGGTATATGTCTCAGTACCTTACTTTCAAAGAGGTCCATGCGTTTTACAGATTTTTGAGTCAATATTTAAGTTTCACATTTATAGCTCACTATCGGTCAGATTATTATCTTGTAGATTCGTATATTCGTCCTTTGTGATATTGAGTCCTAAATAGATAAAGCCAACTACTTTTTCTGTTGGGTAGGGTTAGAAGTAAGTTGTTAACTGTCAGGTAGGGTCCTGTTGCTCTCTCCGATTGGGTTTTTACTAGCATTTTATTAGTATTTTTTTTGTTTGTGTTTTCATGTAAACGTATGTTGTTTTGGTTCTATTCTGAAATAAGATATTAACCATTTTCATTCGCGACTCCCATTTATTCCAATACATTCGTTTTCATTTCCAATACGTTTGATTTGATCAATATGATATAATTAAAGTAGGCAAAAAAACCAAACAGACGAATAAGACTTACTTGGGCAGCATTCAGTAAAATAAAGTATATAAGTACTTGGAAATAATATCTCTATAAATCTGAAAAGAAAAGTTTATTATGCCGGTAGATTACTAGTAGCAGCATATTGCTTAGAACGATGGCTGTAACATAAGGTTACAGCCATCGAACATAAGGTCAAACGAAGATCAAACTAGATTTACAACAGACAAAACGTAGCGCGTAAGACCCCAGGAGAGCTGACGTAATTGTGTATCTCCCCATAATGAACAAAAACGATGTAGGATGTGGTTTTACGTAGCACATAACATAACAATGTGGAGAAATATGAAGAAGGCCTATGTTCAGGCAGTGGTCATTTGAATTTAGATCGTCGTGAGGCTGTTAGTTTTATCCTAATAATGACTCATCGTTGCGATAGTAATTATGCTTAGTGCGAAAGGAACAGCAGATTTAGACATTTGGTTGACGCGTTTACCCGAAGCGAATAATGGTACAAAACCATCATCCATGGGATAGTGAAATTATGCCTGAACGCCTCAAAGGCCATATCAAAGGTGGCAATATCTCTTGAAACTTTAAGAGTTAAAAGGCTCAAAACAATGTAACTTTACTAAGCAATCGCAGTTCGCTAGGACTATCGCACCAGTGTTTATTTTCATTGAGATTATCGGTTTATAGTGCGATGGATTCTTGCCAGTAGACCAGAACTGTAGACGGACGAACATGGGTATTATAATCTTTTCGGTGTTGAAATTAGGAATAGACTATCTGGCAGGATAATCTATCTGGTAGAGCAGTTTCCACGCTGCGATCTATTGAGCTGGTATATATTAAAATTATATTTTCCAGTTGCAATAAAAAATTAATAAAAGATAAACAAATTAAAAGGTTTAAGATGAAGAGCGATAAAAGAATAAATTTCAGTGATTATATTACTCTTCTTGCCTTATATTTGCATATAATCTGAAGTCATTCACGTTTCACATTTTCATATTTAATAATTTCCAATGAGCAAACTTCTTGCATAAGAGATTCCAATCTTATTAACCATAACAGCTATTAGAAATATTTTTAG